AAACAAGTTCTGTTAAAGCGAGAGAACGCGCTTCTCAAGCATTCGTCTGAAAAAAAATGTTGAAGATTTGCCAGCACTTCTTAAGACGTTGCAAAGAAGCATTATCGAAGCGCCCCGGTGGCTTGGTTGGTAGTGTTCTTCTTTTGTAACTGCGAGATCGCTGGATCGAATCTCGCCGTGTGAAATTATTTTTTTTCTTTTATTTTTGTATAATTTATTTTTTTTGTTTTTAGGAACATTTTATAACATTAATAAATATTTTTTTAATAATTGACATTTAAAAAATTTTTAACATTTTGTTCCATATATTAAAAAAAAATTCGATTGCTTTCTGTCAAAAATATAATATTAGGAAATGTTTAATATTATACGAGAAATATATCACTACTAATAAAATAAATTAGTAAACAATTATCAATAATAATGCGGATAATTTGGTAATATTTTTAATTATTTTTTATTGTACAATTATTAAAAATATTTTAAATTTTCTAGCTCTAGAAATAAAAATATTTCTTAAAAGTTTTATACGTTAGAGCTATATTTTTATTATTATGCTCGGTCTCGGATCACTTTTTGTATATCTGACCTGGAGCAACAATAGCTACGAGTTTCGACCATAAGGGATCAGCCGCTTTGTTGAAGTAAGAGAGGGGAGAATCGTACAGGAGAAGACAGGCAAAGCGTCGGTTTTTGAAATAGTCGACCGTTAGTTACGACAGTACAAGGAAGACGTTATAGACAGTGCCGTGAAAATTTCGAAGATGGAATCAACATCTGATTCTTCGATAAAAAGCGATGTTGAACAAAAAGATTCGCTTGCAGGAAGTAGTAAAGATGAAGAAGTTTTGTTAAACGAGGAATTTGCGAAACTCCAGCTGAAAGGTGCCGTCGTTTACATGGATAAGCTTCTTGAAGAAAATAATTTGATTACACCAGAACCACCTTCAACGATTTCTTATGAATCAATGCTTATCGGAGAAGAAATGTATCACAACGCCGTGCAAATGATTGCCGAAAAAAATTAATCACCGATGAAGAATTAATAGCTATACATGAAGCTGACGAAAATAATTTTTTCCGGGAATTAGAATATGACTCCGATTGTGAAGATTCTGATGAATATCAACCAGATAAAAAAAAAGCGAAACAAGTAGAATACATTCCGCTTGATTACAAAGTAAAAGTGGTAAATATTGCGAAACAACATCCTAATTGGAACTTGAAGAACCTTCAGAAAAAAGGATGTAGCCGTTTAAAAAACATGAAGGATTTAAAGAGGTGGGAAGAGCACATTAAAAAGGGCGGAACAATTATCGATAGGTATACTACTATCGACTCTTGGACATATGATCGATTTACAGAGGCTCGAGAAAATTTACAACAAGTTACAACAAGAAACTTGCAACAGTGGGCTTTGGCTGCTGCAAGTCAATTTGAAAACTTTAATTTCAAAGGTTCTCTTTCCTGGGTAAACAAATTCAAACGAAATCACAGAATTCGACAACGAAAAATTACAAGATATGTGAGTGAAAGAGAGACTTTCACGATGCCTGAAATTTTGGCTTCTGCAGAAGAATTTCGAATTCAAGTACGGCACATAATTCCAAACTTTCAAAAAGAATTCGTCATCAATACTGATCAAACAGGTAACTTTTAAAAATTAAATTTTACAAATTGTAAATATTTGAAAATAGTTTATATGCAATATTATATTTTTCTTCATTTACTTTATATATTAATTTTTTACAATACATTTTTTAATTATATTACAGGTTGCCAGTACTAGTCTACGTTTGACAGAAGTCTTGCCGAACAAGAATCAAAAACTGTCTTCGTGAAGAAACAACATTTACATAGAACAACGCATTCATACACGGCCCAATATGCAATCACATTGTCCGGAGAATTGATTCCTCAAGTATTTGTGTGCTTACAAGAATCTACAGGTAATTTTGGGCCCAGAGTTCAAAAATCTGTCGACGAACTTGTAACAAAATATAAAAATACCGTCGTTACAAGTTCAAAGTCCGGAAAGTTAACGACCCAACTATACAAAACATTTTTAACAAATATTATGTTACCATACGTTAAAGAAAACAAATTTCTACTGTTGATTGACTCTTGGGGAGGACAAACAAATCCGGGTATGTACGATGAAATTTTTAAAGACGATAGGAATATAGGAACTTGCACTATTAAAGTTATTCCCCCAAAATGTACGCCTATATGCCAACCATGTGACGTCTATTTCTATCGACAAGTTAAAAATTTAATCAAGCGTCTTCAAAACTGTTCGTACTTGATTGAACAGAATTGCGAAATATCATCTAGAGACGATTGTATTAAAATTCACTCTATTGTTCATCACCAATTGTCGTCGCCAATATTTATTGATATGTTACGATATGCATGGTTGCTTCGAAACTTTGTGATGAAAGGGAAATTTTTTTAAATGTTAATCAAGTTTGCTTTCCCATAGACGTTTTGAAAACGCCCTGTACATGCAAAAATGCTGCATTTATTAGATGTGCAAGATGTGCCATTAATTTATGTTTTTATGATCAATACCATCCGGCATCTTGCAAAGGCACTACTGATTCCGCTAATTAATATAACAATTTTGTAATATATAACGTTTGTTGTAAGAATAAAAAATGTATGCTATACAAATTTGTTTGATTTATTTTCGTTCTTTATATATTTCGTCCTTTATATATTATTTACAATTAATGCTAATATGCTAGCGAAAAAAAATAATTATTGTAAATTTACTTATTTATTTTATAGTAGTGATATATTTCTCGTATAATATTAAACATTTCCTAATATTATATTTTTGACAGAAAGCAATCGAATTTTTTTTAATATATGGAACAAAATGTTAAAAATTTTTTAAATGTCAATTATTAAAAAAATATTTATTAATGTTATAAAATGTTCCTAAAAACAAAAAAAATAAATTATACAAAAATAAAAAAAAAAATAGTTTCACACGGCGAGATTCGATCCAGCGATCTCGCAGTTACAAAAGAAGAACACTACCAATCAAGCCACCGGGGCGCTTCGATAATGCTTCTTTGCAACGTCTTAAGAAGTGCTGGCAAATCTTCAACATTTTTTTTCAGACGAATGCTTGAGAAGCGCGTTCTTTCGCTTTAACAGAACTTGTTTCTAATTAGGTACTATACATAAAAAAATCCTCGTTTGAATCGGTGAGGGGCACGTCGTGCACTCCCCTTGCAAGTACATTTAGATATTGTTGGCCCATTGTCTGTTTCAGAGGGTTATACTTATTGTCTTATTATGATTGATAGGTTTTCACGTTGACCCGAAGCAACGCCGCTTAAAGACATTTCCGCGCAAACCGCCGCGAGAACCTTTTATGATACATGGATTTCACGTTACAGGACTTCCCGATTACTTACTACGGATCAGGATGGTCAATTTGAGTTCACCGCGTTACTCTCATTAACCGGGTGTGAGAAAATCCGCACAATGGCTCATTACCCGGCATCAAACGGCATGGTCGAACGTGGCACCGGATGCTTAAGACTGCCATTATGTGCCACGCCGATAAACGTTGGACCCGTATCCTATCCACTGTTTTATTGGGATTACGGTCACATGTTCGAGCCGACACAAATGCATCACCCGCTGAATTCATGTTTAGAACAACATTACGACTTTTCGGTGAATTTTTTCTCCCCGACGATTACAAATCGGATCTCAATTACTTCATTGAAGAATTTCGCGAATATATGCGTCAGGTACGGCCCGTTCCTGTTGCGCATAAACACAAGAAACGTATCTTCTACTTCAAAGACTTGCACTATTGCACCCACGTATTTTTACGTAACATGGCTAAGAAAGCCTTAGAGCGGCCTTATACCGGTCCACACAAAGTATTACAACGCATCTCAAACCGCGTTTTTAACATCGATATCAACGGAAACTCAAAAGTGTATTCATCGAACTATTGAAACCAGCTTATTTTGTCTTAAACGATCTTACTGATCCCTCCGCGCCCGGCGAAAATATACCAAATCCGCCGGCGCTCAAAACGTATTTGAAAAAAAGTTACTTTTTGACCTACAAATAAAGAAAAGCGCCCAAGTCAAGCATGACTTGGCTTGCAAGGCTATAATAATTTTTTAATTTTAATTTTTATTTTTATTTTTATTTTTATTTTTATTTTTATAATTTTTTATTTATTTATTTATTATTTATATACAGCATATATAATTTATATTAATAATTGTAACTTTATTTAAACCATGAGAAAACGCACATATAAAACTTTAAACTTTAAACCATTCCAGCCAATCTTATGTAATAACATTGAGCGTCTATACGTAGAGATATGCGCTTTCTTTTAATTTTTGTTTATATACAAACTAATATTTAAAATACATATATTTTGTTGTCACTCTGGGGGGGGGGTAATGTAGGGAGTATATCTCTTCTCTAACCCGAGTAGTTCTAGAGAGCGCGGGTAGCGCGCGCATAGGCTGTGGACGGTTTGTAACGAGTAGACGTGCTAATAAAGTGTTCCTCTAAGTACTATAGTTCCAAAGTATTTACTTGATATTCAAATCCCTACAGAGAGAGAGAGAGCATAGGGAGCACGTGCGAGAAAGGAATTCTCACGCGCATAGTCACGCAAGATACGCAAATACGCACATGGTGCAGAGACGTAGATACGAGGGTGAAGACAGAGACTTGCAAAAGAAGGAGGTAAAGAAGGTGGATGGAAAAAAGGACGGCGAGGAGGAAAAGGTGAGGGCGGGAAGGAAAGAAGAAAAGAGACGGAAACAGAGGAAGAAGAAAAGCGGCAGAAAAAGGACGGAAAAGGAAGACGGAGAGGAGGAAAGTGGTGGGCAGCAAGGAAAGACGAGAGGAGACTGAGGAGGAAAGGAAGCGACAAGAGAAAGGCAGTGAAAGGAAGTGAGGAGACGAACAGAGAAAGATTAAGTGAGGGATAAAGAGTCGGAGGATTCATGTCAGTACAGCAGAAGAAGATAAAGAGTGGTGTGTTAAAAAAGAAGATGGCGAAGAGCAAAAACTGCATATGTAAGGAAGAGGTGAAGGAGTTGAATAAGAAAATAGAGAAGGTGGATACAAAGATGGAAGAGTTACTGAGGTGGATGAAAGAAGAAAGAATAAAGGGGGTGAAGGAGGTGAGTGAAGATAGAATGGTGAAACTGATTGAGGTGGTGGAGGAAATGACAGGTTGGATGAAGGAAAGGAAGAAAAGAGAGGAGAGAGTGGAAGGAAAAGGAAAAGAGATGGGAGGAAAAAAAGAAGAGAAAAGAGAAGTGTTAAAGAAAGAAGATGGTATAAAAAGGAAAGATGACGATGGTATAAAAAGGAGAGATGAAAATGAGGAAGAAAGAAGAAAGAAAGGACAAGAGGAGCTAGGAAGCAGGATAAAGGAATGGTGGAAAATGGTGAATGAGGAAGAGAAAGCGAAAGAAGAGGAGAGGAGGAAAAATGAGGAAGAAAAGAAGAAGGGGGAGAGGATAGAGGAAGAAGAAAGAGTATGGGGAGAAGAAATAGGATACTGGGAGGGAAAGAAGAGTGAGGGAAGAGGAAGGAAGGAAAAAGGTGAGGAGAAAGGAAGAGATATAAAAGGGGACGGCAGAGAAGAGAGAAAGAGAGGAAAAAAGGAGGAAAGGAAGAGAGAAGAAGCAGAAGACAAAAAGAAGAAAGAAGAAGAAAGGTGGAAGAAAATCGAGAAAAGGGAGAAGAGGAGAAGCTCGGTCTTCGAAAAACGCCCAGCAACCCCGAGGGGAGTCCGAATAAACAGAATGAATTGAATTGAAGTGGACTATTTCTGTGGACAAAAATTTTGAAGAAATCATGGAATAGTATATTGTGTATTAAGTGCGGAAAGTTGGCTATTGTATACGTCTTCGGCTCGTGCGCCCACCCGCCCTCATATACAATAGCAATTCCGCACGTGGTACACATACTATTTTGTATTACAAGTGCATGTAGATAATATGTATTGTATATAATAAATAATAAGGGTTATGTGGTACGAGTGCGGGTGGGCGCACGAGCCAAAGGCGAGTGCATTACCCGCACGAGTATGGGTTAATAAGAGTTATATGAGTTTATAAGAGTTGTGTGTGTGTGCGTGCGTGCGTGCGTGTGTGTGTGTGTGTGTGTGTGTGTGTATCACACGAGTGCGGGTGGGTGCACGAGCCGAAGGCGAGTGGTGGTATTTAAAAAAAATACTGTTAATAATTAAATACTGTCATTAATTTGTTTAAAAAAAATAAATTGTGAATTTTATTTATAAATTATTTGAAAAATGAGTAGGTTGGAACAAATTGTATTTGAGATTGAGTAAAGATTATGTAAAAAGTTAGTAGAAAGGGAAATTAAATATAGGAAGTATTTATTATGATATTGAATGTATATAAAAATATTGTAATTATTAAGTTGGATAAAGATTTATTAAATATATAAAAATTAATTAGTAATTATGAAGTGTACATAGAATAGATTTATAATTATATAGAGTTGAATATATAAAATAATGAGTTATTTCTAACTTATTTTTTGTTTAAAGCAAATTATTGCTATGGAATTTTCGACGAGCAAAAACGAACTAACACCTCTTTCCCTCCCTGGGAATGTTGTATTTATCATTTTTGGAAGACGTATTTATTACAGTTATTTTATATAGTATAAGTTAAATAGATTTTATATAAAAGAAATACATAATTATGTGAAAATTGAGAAATAAATTGTTAAAGCTTTTTCAAAAAAAAAAGGGAAAAATTTGAATGAAAATAATTAATATAATATATTATATTATAAGTATAAGTATATTATAAGTAATTAAAAATAATATTTGCAATTATATTACAAGCAGAATAATAAATTTGATACATTATGTTTTAAAAAGAAATTGTTTTTTATTATAAAGTGAAGAAATGAAAAAAAATATTAGTCTTATTTAGGTGGTAAAGTTATTGTGAAATTGGCGTAATTAGTTATTGAGAATGTAATATTTTTTGTATTACACGTGCAGGCAATGTGGCACTTTCGGTGTAGGTTTTCTGTGCTGAAAGCGGCCGATTTCCCCCGCTGCCATCTAGCGGCGACGCGGTGAGTGAATAAGCCGGTTTCAAAGCCATTATCTACGGTTGAGCCGCGTTACAAGTCATTGTATACGGCTCAAGCCGTAGGAAATGTATTGAAACCGGCTGTTTCCCCACCGTGCCGCGGCAAGATGGCGGCGTGCGATCGGCCGCCTCGCGCGCAGAAAACGCGCCGAAACAGCCACTTTGCCTGCACTTGCAATACAAAATAGTATGTGTATCAAGTGCGGATTGACAATTGTTCACTCGTATGGGGTGGTCGCACTCGTGACCAATTGTCAACTTTCCGCACTTGATACACAATATACTATTAGTTTGGAGGCAGACAATATTTCAGTTAAGTTATTGTTGATATTTTGTTGATTTATAGTGTCAGTTTGAGTGTTTGTAGGTTCATTTTCTTTGTCGTTTTGTATGCAGTTTGTAGATGTGGATAGTTGTGCTTTGTCGTAAATTGTTTTTGCTGATTGAAAAATTGGAAGGTTATTATTTGTTATCGTGGTTGTGAAATTTGATTGGAAATATTCTTTTTATTAGTAAAGAAGTTGTCCACATATCCTTCAGCTATTGCGTTAGATTTCCATCCTCCGTGTCGTTTTAGTGTGAGTATGTCTGCTCCAGAGTCTGCCAAGATCGTGGCAGAAGTGCGACGAAATGTATGTCCAGTGTAAGAGTTAGGATCTGGTAGATTCAGATAAGTTGCGATGACCGTTGGCATTTTGCCAAATTTATTCCAATCACTTGATGGGTGCATTTTCCTTTTTGGTAGTTTAGAAATAATCTTGGTGTTTTGATGTCGTGTGGTTTGAGGGCTAAGTATTTTTTATAAATACTGTAAAATTTTTTGTTACTACAAAGCTTCTCGGTTTATAGTTTTTTGTGCTTGGAATTGTAACGAGCAATAGAGATCTTCTGTCTTCGATGTGTTCCGTATTTATATTAGTTAGTTTGCCTCTTCTGCATGTTCCACATATTCCAAAGATAGTAGTGAGCTGTAAATATAATAATATATGCAATGTATAAACTTGTAAATAGTTGAGTATGCGTGTGTATAATGTATAAAGTTTTTTGTGGTATGGTTATATTATTTACTTTATATTTGTAATTATGTTTAATATTTTAGTTATTATGTAATAATGTATTTTTATGTTTGATATTTACCTTTGTCGCTAAGTGTTTTTCATCTGGTGCTTCATCGAGGAACTTTTTAATTTGTTCTGGTGTCAAAGTGTTCGCTTTTTTTGGACTGAAATCCTTTTGACTGTGTTTTTAGAAATAAAGTGAGGTTTTCGTATTTGTTGATGTTGATATTATTTTTTATATTTATTGTGGTCTTGAGCATTGAGTATGTTGCCCACATAGTCGATGGCTTGTTAGATTTCGATAGCTCTATAAAATATGTGAGAAGTGTCTTTTCAGACATCGATTTGGTTTTTTTTTAGCTTTCCATGTTATAAACTTGCTGTATGCTGTTTCGTATTTTTCTCTCGATTTTGGGGATAACAGACTTTGTATCGTAGCTTCGGCGGTTTCTGTTATTTCAGGAGGTGTTAGTTCGTTTTTGCTGGTTGATAATTCTTATATGTTGTCACTTGTCATAGGTTTAAGATTGTTTTTTTATATTTGATCATTTTAAACACTATATGTTTAATGAATTTAGTTTTGTGTAACGCAGAGATGACTGATATGCGAGTAGGTGATATGTTACGTGAAGCGAGTGAGATACGAGATACGAGTAGCTGATAGGTTAGATGCGTGTTGGGAAGGCGCGAAGTGGCGGTAGTTTGCTAGTTGTTTTTCGTGTGTGCTGCGAGATGGCGCTGAAACCCGTAGGCAATACATTGTCCACGGCTTGGGAAGCTATTGTATACGGCTTTGAATGCATTAAACATATGTATGTAATATATTGTAGGTCGATGTTGGAAATTTGTTACTTTTGGCATAAAAATCGTGCATGGAAAATGTCACTTTGTATGCACGTGTAATACAAAAAAAATAAGTTTGAACCTCATCAAATTTTTAATGTTGATGAAATCGGAATTTTGACTGTTCAAGAATCGAATAAAGTCTTAGCTCAGAAGGGACAGAGACGTGTAGGAACTATTACTTCTTGCGAGAGAGGAAAAACATTACTGCTATTTGTGCTATGAGCACTACGGGCACATTTGTACCGCCATTGTTTATATTCCCAAGACAACGTCATTCTCCTCTCCTTGAAAAGGACGGCCTTCTAGGTGCAATTTATGATTGTTCTAAAAATGGATAGACAAATGAGACACTTTTTGTAAAATGGCTACAGCACTTTAAGAAATTTGTGAAAGCTTCTGAAGAAAATAAGATATTATTAATTATGGACAATTATAACAGTCACGCTACGCTGGAAGCCTACGAGTTTTGTAGAGATAATAATATTACAATGCTCACTATACCACTTCACTCATCGCACCGCATGCAACCTCTCGATGTCACATTTTTTGGTCCTTTGAAAAAGGCATATAATTGAGAGTGAGATCTTTATATAAAATCAAAAAAATCTGGTGAAAATAACTCCATATGAAATAGCCGATCTATTCAATAACGCTTACATGAAAGTAGCATCGATTGCTAAGGGCATTAGTGGTTTTTGTGCCACGGGCATAGATATATAGCAATAAATCCAAATATATTTACAGACATAGACTTTCTTGCAACAAACACTGATGCTGCTAATGTAGAAGAATTCATACTAAATGATCAAGAAAATATATCAGCTGGTCTTCTCCACCTGATCGAAGCTCTGCAAGATTGCCCAGCAGAAATATTTTCGCAAGATACAGATCACAATATTGAAACACTTGTTAATGACAACTCATCCGTCACTGGTTCTGAATTATCTTTGGTGTAAACAATGATTTCTCCGCAGCCATCGACCGCGCATGGAAGTAGGAGACGCGCAAAAAACAGCATTCTGAAATAATAACTGCCAGTCCTAATAAGACTACTTTAGAAATAAAGAAGAAAAAACGTCTAATAAAAAAGAATAAACCACCAAAAGAGAAGAAGAAATCTAAAGTAGAAAATAAAAAGAAAACAGAAAAGAAACTAAAAGAAATCGCCAAAAAATATTAACTTATATTTTTATAATGATAATATGAAAATTAAATTGTTACTTTAAACTTATTGCAGTTAAAATATATTTTGTAGTTAAACTAATTAATGTTACTTTAAGGTGCATTGTAATTTTTAAACTTAGCAGTGCGTCAAGTTTTTTAACTAAAATTTTTTTATTTTTTACTGATTCATTATACGGCTCCATATAGGTTTGTAACTTTAATTTTCTACTGATACAAGTTTTTACTTTTACTTGGCGTAATTTTTTTATTTTTTGATATCATTACTTTTGTAGTACGATTCTACATAAGTACGATTCTACATGGGTTTGCAATGGTTAAATTTTTATAGGATTCTACATAGGTTTGCAATGGTTAATTTTTTATAGGATTCTACATGGGTTTGCAATGGGTAAATTTTGACTACTGGTGAATCCATATTAGGAGCCTTTTTACCTTTTTCTTAAAGGTCAGTTTTTAAAGATTATATCATTTATTTTTGTATTTATTATATACTTATGAAAGAAATTGTAAGATAATATATATAGCGTTATAAGAAAATAATTATTATATATGTATATACATATGTATGAATTCATATTTTCTTGTGTTACACTACCATCCTACTATTTCTTTCATAAATATATAATTGTTAAAATATAGGGGAAACCGGGGACAAAAGTAACATTTTTTGCATTTTAAGTCAATTATCAATTACCTTTAGAGATATATCAGAAATGATTATATCTTAAGATACTCCATTTATTGGTATATTATTATTATACCTATGTCTCATTTTCTAATGATAGGTATTTAAAAAGCTACTTTAACTTTCGGCAAGTGCATTTTTTGTTACTTTTATCCTGAGGGCCTAGAACGAAAGTAACAGTATAAAAATAGAAGCATTAGTTTTTATTTTAGAATATAAAATAAAAATACGATTATTTATTAAATATTAAATAATTTCTATTATAAAAATCAAAAAATAAAACAATTAATTATCTTCTTTGAAAAACTTAAATGTTCTTTATTAAGTAATAAAATAATTATGATAAGAATATTAAGAATATTAGATCGGCTCTTTTTATTGAATATAAAACACGATATACACCTCCTTTCTTCACGGCCATAGAGCCAAACGCGATGTTATTGCGAAATTAAGTAAGAAAATTGTTAGTAAAGTTAATATTCTTATCATTGTTTATTCGCGTCTGGGCCTAATTACGACGCTTGGGGGGGGGGGGGGTTGAAAGCATTGAGAAAGATATTATTTCGTAAGTGTCTGAATAGCTCAGTTGGAAGAGCATTCGCCCGGCAAGCGGAAGGTCTCGGGTTCGATTCCCGATTTAGCCAATTTTCGGACCAATATTTTTCTCGCTTATTTCTTACAGGGGATTTTAAAAGAGAAACAAGGAGAGTTTTTGAGATCCCAACCACAGGATACGAAATTTCCAGATTCCTCAATTTTCTTACTTAATTTCGCAATAACATCGCATTTGGCTCTATGGCCGTGAAGAAAGGAGGTGTATATTGTGTTTTATATAAAATAATTATATTAAAAATCATAGCAGTTTTATAACTTTTTAACTCTAAATAAGTTTACCTATTTATATAATACAAAAAAGATCAAGATATCAATATCTGCTCCAAATCACAATTTTAGTTAAGAATATCCTGTGGTACAAATACTGTTACTTTTGCCCCCACACATTTTTTGAAATAAAAGCATTACAATCTAAAAACGACGCAAGACTTATCGAAATCAATTATAGAAATTTATAAATACATTTTAGAAAAATGCACCAGCAAATAATTACATCGATATATACACTTTAATTAGACACAGAGACAAGAAAACTAAAATAAGAAATATTTTTGTGAGTATATATTCCGATCCTGCATGTGCAACCAGCGCGATCATTTACAACGACTAGTTGAGAAGAAAGAGGATTGGAATATACTCATTTACTGTGCTAATACAAATTATTTAACACGTTGTGTAGGCTGGCAAGAGGCTTGTTACTTTCATAACGTTGTTACTTTTGTCCCCGGTCTCCCCTATATAAAAAATAAAAATTAACTTCTAAAAAAGGTAATAGAATGATAGCGTAACAAGAAAGTAATTACGTATTATGCAATAAATATAGTACATCACATATATGCAGTATTGCATATCACATGTTTAGTATATCATAAACATATTGTTTTATAAATATATATTTATATAATATTTGCAACTTTATGATATTTATTACTTTTATTATGTTACGTTATTATTTTACTATTTTTTTCATAAAAATTTTCTGCAACGCTACTATCGTACTTTTTCTTTCATAAGTATATAAATAATTATTATTGATAAAG